ATTAATGTTTAAAAGACTCCTGATCCTTTAATTTCTTGGGTCTATTAGATTATTCGGCACATCAAAGCTACATCTGACATGTTGAGAAGAAAATATCTTTAATAGTATTGTTTATGGAAGCCTATAACTACCATTCATAATTTCTACTTTTTGCCTCTTCAGAACACGAAAGTCGAAGTTACGACAAAATGTGAGGCGACAAGACGGTATACAAGCCAAAATCAACTCAAAAATAGGAAATTAAGAAATAACACACCGCGATAATAGCGCCCCCCGTTTTTTCTTAATTTCTACTTTTCGACTTGCATTTTGGCTTGTATACCGTCTTGTCGACTTTCGACTTAGTCATATTTTTGTATTTATTGATGTCAGTAAGAAGGCGCCAACACGCTATACAAGCCAAAATGTAACTCGAAAAGTAGAAATTAGGAAATTAACACACTGCGCTATTAGCGACCTATGATCTGTCGTATTGTCGACTTTTCGCCTAGGAAGTTGTTGTAGTCTCTGCCTTCCAGGTCACATTTGAATACGCGCAATTCCCGTTAACAAAAATGTCTGTATGCGCGTATTCAAATGTGACCTGGAAGGCAGAGACTACAACAACTTCCTAGGCGAAAAGTAGAAAAGTCGACAGTACGACAGATCATAGGTCGCTAATAGCGCAGTGTGTTAATTTCCTAATTTCTACTTTTCGAGTTACATTTTGGCTTGTATAGTGTGTTGGCGCCTTCTTACTGACATCAATAAATACAAAAATATGACTAAGTCGAAAGTCGACAAGACGGTATACAAGCCAAAATGCAAGTCGAAAAGTAGAAATTAAGAAAAAACGGGGGGCGCTATTATCGCGGTGTGTTATTTCTTAATTTCCTATTTTTGAGTTGATTTTGGCTTGTATACCGTCTTGTCGCCTCACATTTTGTCGTAACTTCTACTTTTCGACTTTCGTGTTCTGAAGAGGCGAAAAGTAGAAATTATGAATGGTAGTTATAGGCTTCCATATTCCATAATTGTTAGAGAAAACTAAAGGTTTGCCTGTAAGTTTACAGTAAATTAGTTTCCTGAAGTCTTTTATTTTCCTGTCATCCTGTTCATAATTAGGAATTAATTAGAAGAATCTATCAATGATGTGACCTGAAAATACCCTACTTAGGCCACACTAATTTCATGTTATGTTTTTAGTACACCTTTCTTACATGTATGTTTTGACACTTAAAATGATCTCTGCTTTGTGTTAAATAATTAAACTAAGGGTTTGATGTTCGCCCATATTTGTTGCATATGTCAATCACAGATTACTGTCTGTTCCAGGTGACACTACAACAAGAAAATTGCTTTCCATTTCTTCAATTTCTAATTAAAACAGCTAAAACGTAGTGACATACATGTACCTGGAATTTCCATCCCATTACTTTCTTACATGGGGGAACTAATTTAGGATCAAGCTATATAACGTCTCTCTCTTGAAAAATCGTGGCTTGTTCCTATCGCGCTACTGAACATCAGACATGTTTAATTTAGTTATCTGGAATAGTTAAAGATGGCTGAGGATGTTGGTTTGGCTTTGAGGAGTCTTTTCGGCATAATTGGATGTTAATGAAGTTGTTTCAGCCCAGTAGAATATAAATTTTATTTTTAAGGGATCCAGGACCACAGTGGTTTGTCCAACTGCCTTGAATATTTAATTGGACCCTAGGGTTGTAGCGTTTTGAAATTGATATAAATTACATACAAATTTCATCCAGACCCGACACGTGATGGAAATTTGGATGGAGGCTATAGACGTACACAAAAATAACTTGGTCCATTATATACAAAAGTCATCGCGGGTTGCATAGTTATTCCTTTGAATAAGACTTTGCCTTGAGAACTCTCGGAAATTGTAAACTTGAATTTAAGCTGGAGTGATGATCCAACTAATTGTATATATGTAACCGAATTTCTCATGAAGCCTTCAACAAAAGTAAAACCATTTTTATATATTATTACATAGGCAAGTCTTAAATCAAGGACTATAATGTCTGGCGCATTATGACCTGGTAAACATCAATTACATCATTTCATTTCATTTTTCAATCAAGGTTATGTAATGCAGAACACTTCACAGGTGTCGGTGGATGGTATCTCTTATTTTATAATTTTGCCCTTTTCTGGTTTTGTAGATAGGCCCTCCTTCAAAACGGACTTTACGGATGTAATTAATGCATAGACAACTTGTGTAAATAATTCTGTTTCTCGAAACAACTCCATAATAACTACATCTCGCCTAATTTTCATCTAGAAATAATAAATTGTAGATAACAATAATCAATTATTCAAGGGGTTATATTTTCTAAGATTCGCTTTTTTTGTCTTTTCTAACTTAATATCTGAAACAAATCTTGCGTGCCTAAATCACAAATATAAACTATTCATTACCGTAATGCGAAACTGTTGTCCAATAAATGTTATGTGGGGAACATTTTGGTAGCAATGCAATACTATGATACAATGAACTGTGAGAGATATTAAAATATCGGCATTTACTTTGCAAAAAAAAAAGGTTTAAAAATAGCTCAGAAAATTATGGAAAACTATAACTGCGATGGAGTCATGACAGGTTTCACTGGTGCCTGTTATCCTTTAACTGACGCCACATTAACATATTCCCATATGAGCACGAAATGGCCATTTGTGAAAGCATGTTGACGAGTGGAACCTTTACAAAGTGACCGGTGCAAAATCAGCCATTTCTTGGCAATGGTTAATGTAAGAAATAATTTTGTGATAAGTGCTTGATCGTATATATATCTATACAATATTACTTAAAGGAAATTACTAAACAGTATTATTAAAGGGTACAGAATAAAACTCTTTAGAAAAAGAATGTTTGCTTTAAAGGTTGAAAATAAAGTTTTTTTCAAAATCACTATAGATGTGTTCGCAAACGACGTAAAAAGGTGCTTTTGGACAATTGCATCAAAGTATAAACTATCTTTTGATATCTATATGTTCGTATTGATTTGTGCTTTTAGATGAGTGGAATTAAAGATTTAAAATCTAATTTTAACGATTTAAAATTTAATTATAAAGAAACGGGTACATTTGAAATAAAAGTTTGTTTTATAAAGGTTAAAAGTACAAGTTTTGCAAAAATGACATGCTACAATAATGAACAGTCACAGTAGAAATGAAATGGTGCAAATATCATGAAAATAGAACAATATTTTATTGTTTTGAAAAGTGACTCCCACAAAATTGCCTATTTCTTGAAAACGGCAAAAATTTAAAACGATTCATGGATTTTCGGTTGATCTTATATATCAACCCTACATGTATATAAATGTTTTGAATACAAATATTAGATAATGAAAAAGTTAAATAACATTTGCGGGAAAACAGAGTACGAAAATCGGTTCTCGCCCTGCTCTGCTTATTTACGAGGGCTATCCAGATATATCAGCTAAATTGAGATAAAATAATATTGTGTATCAATAATCATGATAGCTAGTGCTATTGTGTAGCTTAATGAGCAGTTACTGCGAAATAAGCTGGTGGAAACAGAACATAATATTAATCCGACTAAAAAACAAGTGTTTAACACAAGTTTCACAGTGTGAAACCCTCATAAGTATTATTGCCGCAAAACAAACAGGCGAATTTTCCTTCACTAAACATTTCTAACCGAATGTACCCGATTTGGAGATCCCTGTCTACTCCTTACACAAAATGCAAGTCTCCCAATTTATGCAGATGAACTCATAATGTTTGTATCCTGAGAATGAAATGATGTGAAATTTACTAGAGAAAAGTGGATTTTATCAAACTTCTAGGTTGTAAGGATTGACAAAGAAAGCAACGGGGTGATAATTTCAGGTATGTCACAATGTCACCAAGTTTTGGCAGTTTAAATTAAAAACTGAAGACATGGCGAGGAATTTTTGAGTCAGGGTACATGTATCTCCTGGAACAGACAGTAATTCGTTCTTGCACAAATTCTTTGCATTCTAAATTTTCTTTGGAAAAGTAAAGTGCAAATCATCAGACAGGTTTGTATATTAATTTCCCATCCAACATAATTAAGTTTCTTTTCGACCTGAATCCTCAAATTTTGTTCATTGAACCTTGATCATTACTTTTTTAACATTTATTTCAGTTCATTTGAAGCATTTTTTAAAATTAATTTGTGTAAGTTGTAACATTTGAGAGAAGATAGATTATCATCCAATAATAACCAAATTAATATCTAATATTTGATTCTTAACCCAAATCAACCAGGTTTAGTTATTTTATAAATAAGCACAACACTTCCTCTTGTGGCAAGAAATGGAAGTACCCTGGGTAAGTAGTTTTGTACATCTAAAAGAAAATCAAAAATGCCCCCCCCCCCCGAATTTTCATTTCTATGAAACTATATATTATAATTGCATTTAATATGAAAATTCAGGACTATTATTACCCTCAGTCAAGTATGCCTACTTAGGCAGTAATAGTCATAGTGCCAATAATACTATACTACAAATTCATTTATCACATTTTTGTAAATTTACTGTTTCATAAAATCTATTCATTATTGTCGAGTATTTATTAACAAAGTATTACTACGGTAATTAAATAATCGCCAAATTAAATAAGTGGATCAGAAATAACAGCCGCACACCTAACACCCATAACAATAATAATAATAGGCTTGTCCTCTCGGGTTGACGACGGCGAAGCGAGTTAAATAGCACCTATAACCATCGAACAACCCTATCAATTCATAATCTATTATCCGAAGAAAACCAATTTCTAAATTTGAAACAGATCTAAACTTTAAATGGAAACATTTATTATTAACCGTTATTCCCTTGTTTTACAACGTGGAAAATCGTGGTTAACGCGTGACATCACCTCTGCCGATGTGATTTAAGCAAGACATAATTTGACATCTTCATCGCGCAATATCAATAATCTCACGGTAAAAACTATTATGACTGAAAACAATGTTGTTAAAAGTTGCAAAATGGGACACTAACCTTTATATCGGCCAGTATACTTTTACACGTTTCTCTAACATCCTTAAATGGACATTGAATAGATAGTCTCAACAAGCCCGGTAAATGTTCAATTATCTGACGTTTCGCATCAAACCCATTCGAAATATTATTACTCGAATCAACTTCTCTTGGGCTGCCATATCGATCTATAAGGGCATCAAAACTGGATTTAAGCAAATCCAAGCCCTTTTTCCGAGCTATTGGGTCCCGATAACATATTACATGGAAGAACCTTAAAGATTCTTTGTCTCGTTGAACAACTTCGCTTTCATCTGCCATCCAAATGGTATTCTTGGGACTTAGTGTATCAAAATGTCTTCAACTTTCTGAGTATTGTCTTGTCAATTCAAAACCTACTAAACGTAATCTTCTTTTATCTTAAAATGTATTCGGGGTGACAAAATAATCAGCTGATTTGACACACAACGTCAGTCATCAAGTCTTCCGCCGGTCTTGTGTGTGTGGCTTTTGCAGGCGATTTCACTACCGGCACATTCGAGTTGAGGTTTGTTACGTTATTATCCTATAAAAGTCCAAAGCCCAAATCTTTAATTAAACTCCAGAGATATATATAAAGTCATCAGACCAACGGATAATGTACATATCACTCCAGAACATAACATACTTTGGACCGACGTTTGCTCAACATGGATTCGCCAATGACGTATAAATATTCGCCGGTGATATTATTAACCTTCGTATACGCATGCGTGAATATAAAGCGAATACATCAGTGATCACACCGCCGCATCTAACCAATTAGAATGAAGAAACTGGGGTCGATGCTGCAAATGACCCGACCTATTTATCAGCTGATGGCAATATGATAATAGGTCTACAAGATATATTTATGCAAATGAGCACAGCTGAACGAAACTGTTAGTTAGGGCTTGATTTCTTTCGTGAGAGAGAGAGAAATGGGGTTTAACGTCCACTCGACACAAACTAGGTCATTTCGGGACTAACATATGGTTTAATTTTATTTCAATAATTCGATTGCGCGTAGGGGTCTTTAGCAGTGGGAGGAAACCGGAGGACCCGGAGAAAACACACGAGGTTGGACAGGCGACCCTACTCATTGTCACGTAAAAACTGGGGATTCGAAACCACGCCAGTTGACTCAACGACAGGCTTTATGATACAGCGCGCACGTGCTAACCATTCGGCCATCCAACCCCCCGATTTCTTTCGTAACGAAGGTTAAAATACATGTTTAGTAGTAGTAGTACACTGTGGAAGCCTGTATTACGAAACCGAAAGAACGGTTTCCCCATTGATTGGGACGTCAACAATAACTGCGTCGCCTGGTCAATATCATTAATAATGTATTCTCGAATATTCTGTTGGTAAGTGCAGGAGAACCGACAAGACAAACCCGCGAACAAGACAAACTACATAGACAGTCATTGTAAGAAATAAACAACAAATATCAAATCAGACAAGAACAGGTGTTTTTTCATCCGGAAACTTTTAGGTATGATATGGATCCCCATGTTACGGTTTCCGTATCTTATCGGTGAACTAAAGTGGAAATTTTACAGGAAGATATACAACATCATAATACTAGAGCATGTTGCAAATAAAACACACCAGCTGAGCACATCCTTGTCTTATTTTGCCCATTTAATAAAAGATACATAAAATATACATAAATATCTAGGTGAAGGTCAAAGTACCAAGTGTTATATATTTCTATGCAATTCATTTCAGTTATTAAAAATTGAGAAAACAAAATCGAACACCCAGTTAAAATCGCACTGCACTGAGACACTATAAAATTGCACCATTGATTTGACTGGAAAAACTGGTGAGAAACAAAGCAACTGATCCGAAATGTGATTTTTAGCATGAAAATAGGCTGGACATTTACCGATGCAAGAAAATACCCACGGGGGCCTTAACAACTTCACTTTACAGTGAAACGTAGACGGTTGGGGGGGGGGGGCATTTAAAAACATGTATTATGCAATAGCCAAATCTGCCTATTGCATAACTTTCTATAGGTCTGAAATGTTATCTATATTATTATATTAGACATTAATTAACTTATCTAGACCATACCAACTCTCGATGCTATCGTTAGCCTGCGATATTTAGTGGATTTTAATACATTTTGTGATGGATAATTTAACGTAAAAATGGATACTTGAGACTGCTTATATAGTACCTACAGAGGCTAACCTAAAATTGAATTCCTTATATCGGTTCAAAGTGAAGAAATTTGACTGAAATTTTGAGCATATTCTGTTTTCAGGAAAAAAGAATCATACAAGAAAAATATAAAGAGCCATTTTATTTCAAGGCGACCGAGTTTGATTCACTATTCTAGTCTCTATACTACGTTTGATTTAATGTAATAAGAGAGACAGACAGATACAATAGGCTATAGCCTACTGGTGTTGAAATATTAATCTAGTTTCATATTAGGCTAACTACATTATAAATTACAATAAATGCTATTTAATACTGGTTATTTTAGTATTTAGCAGCCTTTCTGTACATTATTTATTAGAAAAAAATGAACATTTGGTACATCCTTAATCAAAACTTTTATTACATGTAGTCAACTAGAACTGAAAAGATGTAGAAAAAACAGTACCAAGTATATCCTGTACAGAAAAAGAATTCGGTCAGCAACCTTGACCTCTTCCAAAGAAATGCTCGATTTTACCGTTGAGGTGAAGGGCATGGTATCTTTTCGTTGTTTGCAGTTTGCGGATTCGGAAAGAAGGCGAACTTATCTTGTTTATCAACAAATTAAACTTACAGCAGGCGTTATTATTGTGTGTCGACTTGACCGACTTCATTCAATATTTGAATTTCCTAGTATCGATATAGTTTCCAGCAACGGAGTAGGCTAACCGAAAATAATAATATGTAATAATAAAAAAAAATACGCAGCAGGATCATATAGACACCGTAAATAAGGCCTGTGGATATTAAAGAATTAATCGGTATGGTTATATAAAACGCCACAAGCTCAATAACAATGATTTATATGTATACAAAGATTTGCGACAGGACTGGCCCTTTTTATACGCCCACATTTTACCGTCCGTCCGTCCACAATTTGTTTGTGGGCACTCTACAGGTCACAATTTTTATTCGATTTTGACGAAACTTAAAATATAGGTCTATCCCCAAAAGATCTCGGTTCTTTTCGATATTAGCATATATCGAACCATAACTTCATGGATTATGGCCTCTGTACGAAAAATCATGTTTGATGAAACTAGAAATGCACGTTTATAACCCAAAGATTTTGGTCCCTTTTAATATTTGCGCATATCGGATCGTAACTTCCTGAATTATGGCCCCTGATTGTACGAAATCGCGTTTTTAGGTTGTTCTTGAAATCACTATTATTATCCGATTAAAAAAAAACGTTCCAATATATCACCGTTACATCGCAATGACGCTTGGATCCTTTCGATATTCACAATTTTGACTCGATTTTGATGAAACTTGAAATATATCACTTCCTGAATTATGGCCCTTGATTGTACCAAAAATCGCTTTTTGTTTAGCTTGTTCTCTCACTATCCACCTCTTGCAAAATGTGGGCGTGTCTTGCCAGGCATCCGCTGGTTTGGTGTACAAATACAACATAGAAAAACTTGAAAATTACGTGCGTGGGTATTTTTAATTGTGATATATTATACCTTTGTCGTTCGTTGGTCACTGTATGTTATGATTTGAATACAATGGTCCTCATTCATCAGATACCCCACACTTGTATATAGCATCTAACAATATAATCTTCAAAAAGATTATTCTAATAAAGGCTATAATTCCATTGAAACTGGGCCTATATAATATTGTACATGGTATGGAATCATATTCCCACAGACAACACGTCATATATTTTGTTTTTAATGTCCATAGAATAGGCGGGCTTATGTCAATGACATACCCCGATCTTTATCATTACAGGATGATGTTTTATTTCAACAATATTAATCTCCCTATATACAGGCCACTTCGGAACGGTTATTTCGCTGAACATAGAAAGTGCCTCCGACTTTTCAAATTATTTTGATTTCTGCATCCGATTGAAAAGTTCTAGTGCTTTTTAAGCATCTTTGACTCATATTTGTTTAACATATTATTCGAGCAACAGATTGTGCTACTTGCGCCAAAAATAATTATAAAGTTTGAACTTTTGAACGTTGGATGAGTTATATTTGTGGTGGTAATCGTGTGGTCGAAACTTTTAATTATTAGAAAATTAAAATATTTGTTTTGCGGGGCATTCAACTATATTAATTTAATTTTGCGGATCGCGAGATTGGCTTCATTTGTAGGATTGTCCGTATATAAGGGCTCTATGGTAATAGCATTCAAGTGAATGGATCCAGTATATCAGGTTCTTGTGCGGTGTATTTCTTTAAGAAACTATAATAGGTTGGTTGAGTGGGTTGAAATCAAGGGCAATGTATACGATTTTAATGACAGGACTGTGCAACATGTATAATCGTATATTCATGGTTCAATTCTTTATAAAATAAAACAAAAATAAAACTACATACTATTATATCAATCTTTACTTACAACCATAATTCAAATAGAATGTCAGTCAAATTGACATAGGAATCTACACAGTGTGATGTGAATTGAACAAAGGTTCAGAAGAAACTTATGTACAAAACGTGTCGAATGAATTGGTGATTCGGACTTCAAACAATGGCTGATTACTATCGATATTATCCTAGGCAGAGACGGGATTAAACTGAACAATATAGATAAAAAAAATATAGGTTTGTAAATAATAATTGTGTTTTTTATATGCCACATTAAAATGTGATCGTATATTGCCGTCGCCCCCGTCCGCCCGTCCGTCCGCCTGGCGTTCACAATTGCTCGTGGACACTCTAAAGGCTAAAGTTAATATCCGATTGACTTTAGATTTATACAATTGCTCGCGGACGTTCTAAAGGCTAAAGTTAATATCCGATTGGCTTTAAATTTTATACACAGTGTTTAAGGTAATGAGATGAAGAAGCCTATTGATTCTCAACGATTTCCGATAATTACTGCCAGAGTTATGGCCCTTGATCACTTTGAAAAATCTTGTGGCCGCCCTGTATACAATTAAAATCCGATTTCCGATAGTTACTGCCAGAGTTTTGCCTTTGATCACTTTGAAAAATCTTGTGGATGCTTTAGAGACCATAGTTAACATCTGATCGATTTATACACCGTGTTTACGCCTATATGTAATCGTGTCGATTGACTTTAGATAGATACACAGAGTTTAAGGCCTTGAGACGAACAAGTATATTGATTTTCAATGATTTTTGATAACTTGAACAGCTAAATCCATTATGTTAAATATTTTGTATACTAAACGTTAGCATGGGCCAAACAAATTCTAATGATTTTATGATAATTACTTAATGAGCTGTTAGTGTATTTTAGTGTATTATAAATGCTTTATTACCGACAAAAGTAAACATATGCGACAAGTCTTGTTTCTGCCCGGACGATTTAGTTGCTGTGCGTATGTTTCGTTGCCTGGCAACCCATTTTGTTTAATTTAATTGTATTAATAAAAAGATAAAATTTACTTTATGAAATGTAAATGTAGACTACTTTTTATACGCCCACATTGAAATGTGGTCGTATATTGTCGTCGCCCCCGTCCGT